GCACGCGTGGCGCCAAGGGAGATGGGTGATATCACAGTTGGAAGAGAAGTCGCACACCGTGGAGCAGGCCGGCAGGCCGTCTGGTCGCGAAGTGCGCTCGAATGGACGACCTGGCTCGCGGGCCAAGGGTAACAGGTAGGCTGCTTCGCACATTCACTCTTTCGTTCCAAATCAGGACGACTCTTTCATTCAAGGCCCAGCCCGAGGCCCAGCCCGAGGCCCAGCCCGAGGCCCAGCCCGAGGCCCAGCCCGAGGCCCAGCCCGAGGCCCAGCCCGAGGCCCAGCCCGAGGCCCAGCCACTACCGCGCGTAGGCGTACGAGGAGGGCGCGGGCTGCTCGGGGGCGGGCAGCAGGGGGGCGGGGCCGGAGGGCGGCAGCGCCGCGAAGCCGCCGTACCCCGCGAAGCCCGAGGGCCCGGCGGGGGCGGTGGCGGGGGCGGTGGCGGGCGCGGAGGCCGGCGCCGGGGCGGGGGCTGGCAGCGTGGCGTAGCGCGCGCTGGGGTTGGTGGGCGTGGCGAAGGCCAGCTGCTGCTGCTGCAACTGCTGCTGCAGACGCTGCTGCTGGAGTGCGGCCTGCACCAGCGGGCCCTGGCGGAAGGGGTTGGGCGTGGTGGTGGCCGGCCGGGCGTGCTCGGGGCCGAACGAGATGGGCCCGGTACGCGGGTCCGGCGCGGGCTGGCCGCCCTGCTGCAGGCCCTGCAGGCCCTGCAGGCCCTGGAGGCCCTGCAGGGCCTGCAGGCTGGCCAGGTCGAGCGGCTGGCCGGGCTGGAAGGCGCCGCCGGTGGGGCCGGCCAGGCCGGCGAAGGGGTAGCCGCCCTGCAGGCCGCCCTGCAGGCCGCCCTGCAGGCCGCCCTGCAGGCCCTGCGCGTACAGCGGCAGCCCCTGGAACGGCACGGCCGGCACCGCAGGCACGCCGTACGGGTCCTGCGCCGCCGCCACCGCCAAGCCGCACATCACCTGGGGACACAAAAGACGCAACGCGCCGGTCAAGACAGGGCGGACACTACACTGAGAAACTGTGGATTCAGTCAAGACACACTTCAGAGCTCTGTGTGTGTGCTCAGTACACAAGTTTTCAGTGTACCCGGTGGAGGATTCAGAGCCAAGCCGGCCTGAAAGAGGAGGCAAAGTTGCCGAAAGTTGCACATTCTGCCTACTGACAGAAGCGAAACGTGGCCCTTTGCCTACCTTTCAGGCGGCTAGGGCGATGGGAGAGAGGACGTCAAATGCCCTTTTTGCCACCACCCCCCTTCCGAATCCGCGCCTGGTGTTACAACAGGATCTCGCACTATATACCTGATGTCTGCAACGACTCGAGACCCTACAAAAACAAGGACGGCCTCTGAAGTGTGAACGACGCCGTGCCACAACAGAGGCAGCGGCGCCTTGCAGCCTCCGAAACAGGCCCGCCAGCTCTGCCCGCCAGCTCAGCCCGGAGGCACAGCCCCCAAGCCCCGAAATTGTTACCGCACGACCCGCTGGACAGCCGGACGCGGACATACCGTGCTTCCAACTGATTCCGAGAGTCGTTTTCGTCGCTCTGTCTCTCTCGCACTCGTGGGGCATTCTTATGGGTGTGAGAGAGACAGAGCCACTAAAACGACTCTCGGAATCAGTCTGCTGTGCTTCGCGGCGCAGCGTGGCGCCCCCTGACTCGCTGATTGGGTTCCAATCCGCCCGGCTTGATGGATAGCGAGGTGTGGGCTCTGCATTCGCGTCGCCTCGTTCCGGTCGGAGGTCCGGCGGTGTCGAACTGGGGCGGGCACTTCACAGTGGGCCAGAGGACCGGCGCAGGCGGCCCAAACTCTAGACGCGTTTTGAGCTCCAGAATCGCTAAATGGGACTCGAACCGAGCGTGTCACTCCACCAATCGCTTGCTCTCCGAACGAGGAATCCGTTGGTGGGGTCACACGTTCGGTTCGAGTCCCATTTCGCGATTCAGGAGCTCAAAACAAGTCTGGGATTTTGATCGCCTCCGCCGATCTTCTGGCCCAGTGTGCACTTTACCAGTTCAAGTGCTTGCAGTGGAAAAGTGACCCTTTACCTGCCGTTCAGGCGTTCAGGTGCCCCCCCCCCCCCCCGGCGCACCTCCCCTTTTCAAAACCGCCAGGTTCAAGCCCAATATCCACTGAAGACCAGGCTGCCTGAGCCACGCATGAAGTGCGACCAGGGAAGAGAGAACTCGCGCCGCCACTTTCAGAAATGCTAAATCGTCCTTATCGCGTTGTGCCGATGGCCGTGCCGATGGCGGCCTCGCGTTCGCATTACGCGACGTGTCCCGAGCCGATCAATCTCCGGGTTGGCTCGCGTTGCGGCTCGCATCGAGGAAGCGCGTGCGGCCCCACATTCAGGTTCACATTCCGACCCGGCCGGCGCGGGCAGCGCGGGCTGCGCGGGCCGGCGCCACATTCAGGTCCACATTGCAATGTGGCACGGGAAGCGAGACGCCTGCAGTCAGTGAATTCCCCGTGCGGCCCAATTGCCCAGGCCGGTCAACTCCGGAGTCCTGGACACCAATACCACACGCGACCGGAGTCCAGTCCAGTCTGGTGCCGAAAAGTCGTTTCGTCGCTCTGTCTCTCTCTCTCACTCGTGGGGCGTGCCGTGAGGGAGCGAGAGAGACAGAGCGATGAAACGACTGGGCCGCTCCAGGACTCCCTCCGGCCGGGCGGGGCGGCCCGGGACGCGCCGCCTGGACAGCCTGGAGCGCCGGCTGGACAACCTGGACAACCACGAGCAGGTTGCACCATCGCCCTGGAGCCGCACTGGAGGACTGATCCGGTCCCCAGGGCCGCCGTAGACCGCCATTGCCGTTACGTCACGCGGTCACTGCGGAACACGCAGCGCGCCGGAGCCGCGCCTGGAGCAGGGCCAGCAGGGCAAGCAGGGCAACGAGGTAGCGACCCTCCAACGCGGCCAAGGAGCAGCAGACGCGCCAAGTGTGCGACAGCGGCGACAGGGGCGGAGCTGCGATCGTCTCATGTTCACCGCAGTAAAGAGTGACCTTTCGCGTCGACCTCCACTCCCACCCCGTTCTGGCCCGGGGTCCGTGCGCGGCAGTCAAAAGCCTTTGAGGGAAAGCCGATTCCCATTCACCCACAACAAGATGGTCCCGGTGCAGCTCGCTGAACGCCCACCCAAAGCAAGATGGGCCCGGTGCAGCTCGCTGAACGCCCACCCAAAGCAAGATGGGCCCGGTGCAGCTCCAACAAGATGGTCCCGGCGTAGCTCGCTGAACGCCCCCCCCCCCCTAACAACAACAAGATGATCCCGGTGCAGCTCGCTGAGGGCCCACACACAAGATGGTCCCGGTGCAGCTCACTGAGGGCACACACACAGGATGGTCCCGGTGCAGCTCGCTGGGGGCGCACACACAGGATGGTCCCGGTGCAGCTCGCTGAACGCTCACTCACAAGATTTTGTCGGTGCAGCTCGCTGAACGCCCACACACAACAAGGTGGTCCCGGTGCAGCTCGCTGAACGCCCACACACAACAAGGTGGTCCCGGGGCTGCTCGTTGAACGCCCACTCCTACAAGATTGTCCGTATGCCGCACTCCGAAGGCCCACTCCCACTCACCCACAACAAGCCGGTCGCCATGCTGCTCGCTGGACGCCCTCGCTGGAACTGCTGCCTGTTGGTCCTGCTGGTGGGGGGGCCGTCCAGGGCGTCCAGGACTCCGTGGACGCGTCGCGGCCTGGAGATGTCCGCCGACTGATTGGCGCCCGGCCGGCGGCGGCCGTTATATACAACCATTCATATGGATCGGAGGCACGGCCGCGCATGGCCAGGCCGCCAGGCCGCGCAGCACACCGATTCCGAGAGTCGCTTTCGTCGCTCTGTCCCTCTCGCACCTACACGGGACGCCCCAAGAGGGCGAGGCAGACAGAGCGACGAAAACGACTCTCGGAGCCAGTCCGCTGGGGAGAGGCGGGTGGCGGGCCGCGCGGACGACGGGGGACGTTACCGCATGGCCTTACCGCCGGCGACGGCGACGGGGCCGCAGCTCTTTAGCCGCCGCGGCCAGCAGGCTCATTCCCAGCGCTACTCGACACTCCGTCTCTCTCACACCCTTGCGGGACGCCGCACGAGTGCGAGAGAGACGGGGTGATGAGAGCAGAGTTCGGAGTCGGTCTGCTGGCCAGGCCGGGGCGGCCGGGGCGGCCGGGGCCTCAACACTTGAACGAACAGCCATTCGTCGAGCCCCCACACCCCTCCCTCTTTGCACCCTTTACTGCCGGGCCGTACGCGCTACGCGCTCATTAAACGACGGCAGTGGATACCCAGCCGCCTGACTCCGAAGGCCCGCTTCGTCGCTGTCTCTGTCGCACTCATGGGGTGTAGGGGAGCGAGAGAGACAGAGCGACGAGACGACCCCTCGGAATCGGGCGGCAGGGGCAGGCCACGACTACTTTCCCAAAGTAACGCTCCGCGCGGCTGGCCCATGCCTGGCCCATGGCTGGCCACCCGCCGTCATTCAGTCCGTGCGTCAGTCCGTGCGACATGCAGAGCGATGCAGAGTTGCACGGGACGGGAACCCGCGGCGCCTTGCGTCAAGCCCGGCCCTGCCCGGCCCGCATTGGGGTTGCCGGAAGGGGGAGAGATATTTATAAGTCAAGTGGACTCATGCCCTAATAGCACCGCCTGGAAGGTAGGCAGTCGGTACCACGATGCTCCCGTAAGTAGGGTAGGGTGCAGTGCGAGCCAGAAGACCGGCGCCGGCGGCCAAAACTCTAGACGCGTTTAGCTCCACAGTCGCTAAACTGGACTCGAACCGAACGTGTGGCCGTTTCACCTGGGGGCACTTATCGACCGAAAGTGGCATCAATTCTCAACACAGAATTTCAATGCCCTGCATTATTATCAGACATTTGCATGCAGAACTTATTATTATGTAGTTTGATTTTATGTCAACACACAACCAGCATAAGTAAATTCAAATTGTGCATGTTTTGATGTGTGGTGGCGAAAAGATGATATATGCAATAAATTGAAACCAAACTTGTGGTGGAAAGACATTTATGAAACATCTAAATAACATAGAAGTTTCCGATGATGTCACAGATTTAAACAATGACAACAATCATACAAGTAATAAGGTTGCTTATAATCTTAAAAGTTGATGGGAGTGATGGAAATCATTAAATCAAGAATGAACAATTTTAAGTATCACAATAAGGCAGTCAAAAGTTGGAAATACTACACAAATAAAACGGCTATAAGTAAGAAATACTACACCGTTACAAAAACATAAAAGTCTCCAAATGCAGTCTGAACAATTAAAAAAAGAAAACATATGGTTGGTCTAAATATTATAAAGTTTGGTTTGGACTTAATTCATTTTTTGCAGACATGATCAGAGATGTTAAGACAGTATCTTAAAAACATCTTACAATTTCAGTCAATCCTGAGTCTCAAACAACAACAAAATACATGAATCAAATAAAAGTGTTGAGTAATGAATGAGATGATACTTCAGTTATGCTGAGGCACTAATCTGGCAGTGATTGTAAAAGTACGTTACACAAAATTAAAAAGACAAAATCATTAGAAAATTACAGGAACTCCATTTCTCGTTCAATTCCTACGAATTTCAGTTGCTCTGTTGGTCCATATCTGCAAAGTAAAAAAATGTATATGTGATTACACATGCAATACATCTGCTCCCAAACATTATGGGAACAAACCCCAACAATATATTTTTTGAACATTCTTTTAAAATTAAAATACTTTCTAACCTGTAGTCAAAGAACAACTCCTCCCCTGGCAAAATAGCCCTTTTAGCAAAGATTCCAATCCGATGATCACCATTCACCATCATTACTTTGGCATAACAATTTGGGTTAATGGAGTGATTGGCAAATCGGATTTTGTTTCCTTTACGTGTCGCATCAACAACAAAATCTGAAAAGAACAAAAGCAATTAGACCAAATAAAAAAACAAAAAGAGCTTAAAATATGAGGCAATAAGCAAAACATGCTTGGAATCTGGGAGTTTCTGTTTCTACAGACTTACCATTATTCAAGTTAAACAGGAAGCTGCACATGTACTTGTCATAGACTTTGCCACGCCGATCAGCTTCATCTTGTGAAATAACCTCTCCACAATATTCTGATATAAACTCATTTTTCATTGCAGATTCTTTCAAAAAGATGCCCCAACCTGCTATCTCTGAAGGAGCCATCAACAGATGCTTGTCTGTAACATATCAAATAGGTTGAAACATTTAGTTTACCTACAAACTAAGCCTCCACCTATGGTATAAAATAAATGACCAATTTTAGACTTACGTTGGGCTCTTTGTACACTGACATTCTTGCAAGTGATACGAGAAACATCAAATTGGTCTGCGCCACAAGTCTGACAGAGATCAGGGTCACATTCCCTCACTGCTAGATAGCACGGGCACTGTTTTGTGTTGCACTGTGCTTTGCAACGACAGCCAGGGAACCTATTTTGACCTGAGTAAAAATGTAAAAGGTAATCAAAATTGACTAAACAAAGAGCATTTAAAAAATCATTTGAAGAAAATAGACTTTATATTATAAAACTGAATTGAAAAAGGAATAAGTGTACTCAAATTCAAGTGCACAAGCTAGGATTAAAATAGTTGGTGATTAGGTTCACTTACATTCAGAGCTGCACTGACAGAACTTCTCACAAAAGTTGCCATTTCCAGCACATGGACATGTCATGTCACATGGTTGATCAGGGTGGTCACACGGTGTGTAATTGGTGACATGATTAGAACCAGAGTCTTTCTTCATCTGTATCTTTCGGCAATGAACAGACCATAAGCGATGCTTCTTCTTCTTCTTGCGAGGAGGAGTGGAATCTCGAACAGATTCCTCAGCTGGAATATCAGCAGCTTCTTTCTGACCAAACTCATACACCTGCGGATATTAGAAAGCATTAGTTGGCGTTCAGACAAAGTCAGGTCAATACCAAATACAGTGAAATTGACAGAAGTCTTCACCTGTTTGCACGTTTTCGTCAGCATAATTTGGGCAATGGCACAAAAGTTGTTGTGGAAAACCTTCTGAAGGGCACGAAAGAGGGATTGATCTGAACCCGTCCATTCTGCACACTCATCAATTCCAATTCTATCCAGCAGTGAGAAAATAGGATTAGCTGATTTCTGATATGTTTGTTCATAGCCATTAGGATCATGGTTAGTTGATTTTCGGGAGTTATGGTGACTGGATTGGTGATGTGAGCTGGTGCTAGGATGGCTGTTGTCAGTTGAGTGCACATGGCCATCTCTACCTACAATCATGAGATTGAAGTTTGTTAACAGATTATAGAAAAGCAACGTATTGCTGACGACAAAACAACAGACATTGACAAGGCAATGTGCCATGTGTTTATTAATTGCCATCAAGTGTGTGAAATTTACTTACAAAATGCATACCAAAAATGAATTAAAATGAATAGTAACAGCAACTTACCTTTGTATTTGCTACTGTCATTACTATCTTCAGAGCTCACTTCATTGGCAGAATCAAGGGAGTTCAATTTGCGTATCTTTCTAGGTTTCGGTCCAGTTGGCTGTGTTGATGAGGCATCTGATGGACGATCAGCATCTTTTTGTCTGCGCCTCTCGTCTTCCTTTTCTTTTTGTCTTAATCTCTCATCCTCCTCTTCTTTTTCTTGTTTCCTTTCAGCAACTCTTGCTAATGCCAACTTTTCACCCATTCCCTCCTACAAAGAGAAAAATACCCAAACACCAATGAGAGAAAATTCATTTTGGTAATTTTTTAACCACACAAATAATAAATATGAAAATTGTAGCAAAATAAGGTTTACCAGCAGCATGTAGCAGTTTGGTCCACATGGCTCTGAAAATGTTTTCAAAAATGGTCCTTTCCTTCTCTTGACATTTGGTCCCGCATGAGATGCTTGTAATCCTTCAAGGGGAAGGAATTGTTTAGAATGATCAGCCATACGGACTACAATAGTATTGAGGTAAGTAAAGAGAAATCAAAAACTTACTGTGTAAGAAACAATCATATTTGAAACACCTTCGACAGAATAGAGTATGGAATGAATGAAGGGTTTGTTCTCTAGGAACATTCTCAGCTGCAACACCATCAATATTCGGAGTACACTCGGGTGGACGGGCATTTGGATCTTTTCGTGATGTTAATTCTATAAACCTAGATGCCAAGAAAATTTTCATAGTAAAAACAGTTATCAGGTAAAAAAGTGGTGATTAGTTTAAAAATTATTACTTGTCACGCAGCTGTTCAGGTGTCCCTTTCTCAGGAAATGATATTGATATTGCCTGAAAAATAATATCAATAGGAAATGGTAAAGGCTTTCCTGAGAGCTCTGAATCCTCTGGAGAAGAGCTTTGACTTTGCATTTCTTGAGATTTAACATCAGTTTTACTAGATGATGGACCCTCTTTATCAAATTTGTCTTTATTTTTGTGGCTTTCACTAGTTTTTCCTTTGGCTTCATCTTCCTCCTGGAGCAAAGAATGTAATGATTACAAATATATTATCAGTGCATGTACAAAGGCTAAAGGGAAATATTTACTTACATCTTTCACTTGATAGGAAACGAGGGCATTGACAAGTTCTACAAGAGTGCTGTCATCAAGAAATCCAGTTTCGCGATCTCCATGAACTTTACCGTCATAGTTCTTGATCAATTCTTCAATAAAGGTTCCGTCTTGATCGAGAACTTCATCACCCATGTATGGTATATTATGTAGAACTGTCTCATCCTCCACCTAAAAAGACACAAGGCAGGAATGGAAATTGATTTCACAGTTGAAGAAGGTGGATTGAAAACACTCTCCCTTGCATTATTGTGTTCAGAAGTCAAAAACAATAATTTTAGCCAATATAAAAAAGAATCTTAAAATGAACCCCTCTCCTGCATTATGCAGACAATTTTTAAAAATACAGGGTACTAGATCTGAATCAATGTGGTGCTTTGCAACAGAAAACATACCATAAAATTTTGTTGAATTGGTGCCCAAGTGTACATGGTAGGTATCGGAGTTACAGAGTTTATTATTTTGATGGGGCATGACTGTGTCTCTCCATCCAGTCCAACGATTTCGGACTTCTTCATGCAGGCAGCATGAGCAGGCGCTTCTTGCTGCCACGTCCATATTGCTTTGCCCTGAAGCCACCGCTTGTTTTCTTCTGCTAATCCATCTAAAACAAAAAGTAACCAGTTACCATGAGACAATTCTTCTCATCAAAAGACCATGTATTTCCATGCGCTCTCTCGGTATACCTGTCAAAGCCTTTCGATTGACATTCCAGGCAACTTTAACTTCGTCTGCTCTTTTATGCCTCTTCGCTTGGCGAAGACGCATGTACTCAGACTTTACACGCTTCTTCCATTCCCCAGGAACTTTAACTTTTCCAGACATTTTTTACATTCAGCTCGAACTCCTGCAGCCACAAACACATAGGTTAGTAACAGGGCATTCTAACCTACCAAGACAAAGTAGATTCGGCAAAAGAAGTCAAAAGAAAGGTTTCTGATCGAGAGTTTCGTGAGTTAGAATTATGTCGAAACAAAATCGTGCATCATAACGTCAGAATTATTGTGTCGTACACAAATTCAAATACGTTGAGCGGCCCGACAAATACCCGCGAAATCATCTCACACTTTCCACACACAATAAAACACTGCAGCTGCGGCTCACCGTCAACAAAAATACCCGGTCTTATGTGTCAGAATCAGCGGCACGAATTTGGGACATTCTGCCCATTCAAGAAGTGCCCGTTTCAAGGCGCATGATGAAATTAACGTAATGAGAAATGAAACAAATAAAAGTGCACACGAAATGAAAACAAACCGATGGCTGCCGATAAGCGGATGACGGGCTCGGTTCACGGCCGCTAGAGGGCAGGACGGTGCTGCACCACCACGCGGGTAGAGGCGGCTCGTTTGAAGAGAAGCGACGCCTCTACGCCGAGGGGAGCACGTGCACCGTGTGACAGTCTTTCAGAAAAGTCGCGGTTTTTATTTCAATGGAAAAGAATATTGAAACACGAGCATGTCGACGAGAAAGTCAATCTGACGACATTCATCGGCCTGAGAGAATGAATGAATAGAAGAGGTAAGTGGACTCATTTCGAACAAGCACTTAGTTTAATGACAGAGGGCGTCGACCCGACCAGCATAGGCTGACTCCAAATGTGGTCTCTCTCGCACCCATGGGGCGTGCCGCGTAGGTGCGAGAGAGGCAGAGCGACGAAAACGACTCACGGAATCAGTGTTCCAAATTGTTTGTCCTCGGTGGCGCAAGCTGCGCTGGCCCAGTGTGGTCTGGCCGAGCAAGTCACCGGCACTTCATTTCGACCCCCGACCCCCGGCCGCGCAACCCCTGCCCGGGGGCGCACTGCACTTCACGCTGCATTGCTCTGTCTCTCTCGCACTCATGGGGCGTCCCGCGAGGGCGCGAGAGAGACACGTCGACGAGCCTCCAATGAGCGTCCGAGCGTCCAAATGAGCCTGCAGGGCGCGATGCCGTCGGCAGATAGCGCAGTGCAGTGTGGTTAGCCCACAAGCGACGCGCATTGTCCGTGGCGTGCCGGTGACTCCAGCTGGCAGCCTGGAGGTCCCTGGAGGTCCCTGGAGGTCCCTGGAGGTCCCTGGAGATGCCTGGAAGCGCCTGGAGGCCTGTTGGCAGAACGGAGGCACTTTTGCTTTTGCGCCAATCTTCGCCTGGAGTGTACTGGTGTATACTGGACCTCGACAATGACTTCTTGCGCGAGAGTGGTGTTGATGACTTGGTGCCGAGTCCAGCGGAGACGGCGTTTTGCCGCAAATGGTTGACTTCATGTTGCCTCCTTCCCGTTTGCCTTCCCTCGTCGATTGATTCCGAGAGTCGTTTTTGATCGCTCTGTCTCTCTCGAATCTACAAGTGCGAGAGAGACAGAGCGACGAAAACGACTCTCGGAGCCAGTCTACTGGACGACGACGGCGCTGCACCGGCCGCGCGGAGCCATAGTATTTCTATGTGACCGGCCGTGGCATTGGCGGATGTGACGGATGGGCTCGATTTGCTGGTGATGCCAGCGGGCCGCGCGAAAAACGAAAAGCGAAAAACGAAAAACGAGCAGCCAGACCGCGGCCGGACCAGGCTGCCCGTCTGGAAGTCGGGGGCTGAACGGGCTGAACCCGGCGACTCGGCTGGACTCGGCCGGACTCGGCCCACCCGCCGTCCTCGCGGGGAATTCCCCAGCCGGGCCTGAAGAGCCGGGCCGCCCGCAGCGACGCGCAGCGACGCGCAGCCAGGGGATCGCAGGGCGGCAACGGCACTAGAAGACCGGCGCCGGCGGCCGAAACTCTAAAAGTGCGTTTTGAGTTCCAGAGTCGCGGAACTGGACTCGAACTGAACGTGTGACCCCACCATTGGAAGCCTCGGTCGGAGGGCTAGTCACTTGTGAGGTCACACGTTCGGTTCGAGTCCCATTTGGCGACTCTGGAGCTCAAAACGCGTCCGGGATTTTTTAACCGCCTCCACCGGTCTTCTGCCCCACTGCTTTGTGCGCCGACTGGGCGGCGCTCTGCGCCCCTACGCGCTGTCAGCGATTCCACTGCCCGCACCTCTCCAACTTCTCCTGTCTCTGTCTCTCTCGCACTCCTCCGGCACACTCCGTGCGTGCGAGAGAGCTGGGCAGGCCCGGCAGGCCGTCGCTGGATCCGCCACTGGAAGGCCTTCTGCTGCGCACGCCGCGCAGATGAAAGGGAACCCAGAAATTCCTGGCGCCTGGTTCTCTGGCTGTGTCACGCCGAGGCGCGAGGCGGCTGGCTCGATATGTCGATATTGGGTAATCCCGGCGCGGTGCGGCCGCACCAGCCAAGACTGCAGACTGATTCCGAGAGTCGTCTTGTCGCTCTGTCTCTCTCGCACTCATGGGGCGCCCCGTATACGTGCGAGAGAGACAGAGCGACGAAGACGACGCTCGGAACCAGTCTGCAGCGGACTGCCAGTGTGCCACCGCGAGCCGCGAAACAAGCCTGGCGACATAATGCACGTAATGCCGAACTATTACCTACTTTCATGGACGCCGCGTCCTTGGCGCGGGATGCGCGCGATTTTCCATCCCCCGTCTCGCTCGCACGCACGGCGGCGGGGCCAGCAGAATGTCGCTGTCTCTCTCGCACTCGTGGAGCGGGCCGCGGGGTTGCGAGAGAGACGGAGCGACTGCCCGGCCAGAGGACGCAGCACCGCGCAGCACGGACATCTCTGCCGATAATGGCGCCAATTGCGGCGGAACAGAGCGACGCTCTGTCTCTGTCGCACTCGTGGGCGGCTCGGCAGAGCGAAGTCTCTCTGTCTCCCTCGCACTCGCGGGGCGGCCCGGCAGAGCAGCGCCGTGCTAGCTGGGCTAGAAAAAGGCAACGGCTGGCTAGATATAGCTCCCCAGAATGTGTACATTTCCAGGCGATTTTTCCCGGCCGCGCGGAGGCGAGCACGTCGGCAGCACCGCAACGAAATTACGGAAAATTCGACCGGCGCGTTCGCGAGTGGGTTCTCTGCCACACCGCACTCTGCTGCAAACTATGGTCAATGGTCAAAACTTGTGAGTGCATGCCTGCAAAGTACACTCTTACAAAAGAATGCTTGGCTCACTAAACGGTTATTTCTGCCTATTTTGACTCATTCGAATTCATTATATTCACAGTGTTGGATCCAAAAATAAAAATTCCCATTCAAACAAAAAAAGCGCGGGAAAACAAATTTTGAATTTGGCGAGCGTCAGTCTGTTGCTGACTGGATAATGGAAGGAACCGCGAGACGAGACCATCACAATGGGAAACCATTGACGAATCGCTCGTCGCCTCGCTAGAAGAGCGGATGGCCAAAGAGCGGAGAGTCCTGGCGGGCCTGGTCCGCGTTTTGACCCTTGGCTTCATCGGGCGCGCACATTCTCTAAAGTACCACTCCAGTCAATACAGTACACCGGCGGTTACGTCGGCAGCCGGAGGATTGGTTTGTTTTGTCTATCGACATTTTGGAGCTCTTATCGGTGGACTTTTCCACAACCTGCAGAAGGACCCTTCAGCCTAGGCCTGCTGCTCATTCCTGCACTGCAAATTCTATTGGTAAGTCTCCGTTTGAGTGCCGAAATTTCACCTTCTGACCCCAGTTTGCCTGCTGCGGACGCCAAAGGTGGCCCGGCCCACCGGGGGGCTCAATTTTGGTATTCTGTGAGGGCAATCCAACGTGGGTCCTAAAGGCCAATTTTTTTCATTTGAAACTGGAGTAGCAAGGAAACTTACCAATGGTTTTGTAGAATCAGCCTGGACGGCAGGCTGAGGTTGGCAACCCTTTTTTGACACTGGTGTGTCGTAGGAATTCTTTTGCCGGAGGGGGCAGCACTGCGTGAAGCTTCCTGCCTGGAAGTACCTTTACCTACCCAGTGACGCCGCCGCTCTATTTCTCTCTCTATCTCTCTCGCACTCACGGGGCGGCCCGTACTGCGGCAAGCGTCGCAGCAGTGCGCAGCGTGCCGGCAAGGACAAGGCAAGGGAGGGTTGCCTATCTGTACAGTGCGAGACTTATCCCTTCCGGTTCGATGTAAAGCTCGATCCTGTTTCACGACCGGCTGTAAAACATAATGTAAAAGACGGAGATAGCCGCCCCGCAGACTGAGTCGCTTTCGTCGCTCTGTCTCTCTCGCACCTTCCAGGGGCGCACCACGAATGCGAGAGAGACAGAGGACTCTCGGAATGAGTCTGCCCGCTCCGCGTTTCTTGACACCGGTCGAGATAACCTCGTCGAGACGGACAATATTGTGCTTTTGATGTGCTCTGCTCATGCCGCCTCGCGGAACGAGCAACGAGCCGCCGCGGGGGAAGCGATAACCATCGGCGTGGAATCGACGTCCAATTCGTGTCGTCTTGTCGCCGAAATCGGAATCGTCTGTAGGCGAAATGCTCTCTGAGGGAAGGTCATTTTGAAGCGCCAACCCGACTCGTCCGCTTCCTGTCCGAGTGAAATAAGGGAAGAGGGAAGACCAGGTGACGCGAGCAGGCTGCTTGGCGCTGCTGGCAGCCTCGCAGCAGACTCATTCCGAGAGTCGTTTTCGTCGCTCTGTCTCTCTCGCACCTGAACGGGGTGCCCTATGAGTGCGAGAGAGACGGAGCGACGAATACGACTCTCGGAATCAGTCTGTTGGCCGTGCTGATGTCGACGTCCCTAGGACGGCCCAACGCACACGCTAATGGAAGCACGGGCAGGCAGGCGGGCAGGCAGGCGGGCAGGCGGGCAAGGCCTCGCGCGCCACCTCAACGGAAGACGCAATGACAAACGCCTTAAAACCTCATTAGGGAAATAATACGGTGAGCTTGCGCGGACAAAGGCGCGCACTACACTGGTACACGTGAGGAACGCTACACTGGAAGACGTTCTCAATCCGAGAGAATTTTTGCTTCATAAATTTGCCCTCAACAATGCGTTGTCAGTCGATGTGAAACAAATGCTCGAGGATTGAGGTGACAACTCATAATTTCCCAGTGCACAGTACTGCAGTTCGTTGGTGGAGGCACCGTATCTGCGTTGACTTTACTCTTTTACTCACAACCTTCGGGACGGGAGTGACACATGCGTCAGTTTCACTCTGCGCTCGAAATCTCCTCTCTTTCCAGCGTGTTCTGAACTCGGGTCTAACTCGGGACCACAGCAAAGCAAAAATTTAGCAGATTAAAAGGGAGCAACAGGCCTTTTGGGGCCCTTGGTCTCCACCCTAGAGACAAACGCCGACAGCAGCCTCCAGGCAGAGCGGCGCACACTCTGTCAGACTTGGCCTCCCGCCCCTCCCGCGGCCCAGCATTGCTCGGCATTGCCGCAGCAGCGCCAGCGCACCACGTGCCGG